GATATTAATACAGTTATTGGGTATCAGTTGAGGATTTTACAATGATTTCTGAAAGATCAACAAATTAACTGGACTCCAGAATTTTCTTTTCTTTTTTTCGGATTAGAGTAGAAAAATTGATAAATTACTTTAAAATTTATTATACACATATCGGTTGTGCTGAATCATTTGATCAGTTAGCAGGCTTTCATAAATTAAAGAAATTATTACACATTTGGGGCGAGGCAGTGGCGCAGTGGGTAGTGCTGTCGCCTCACAGCAAAAAGGTCGCTGGTTCGAACCTCAGCTCAGTTGGCGTTTCTGTGTGGAGTTTGCATGTTCTCCCTGCCTTCGCAAGGGTTTTCTCCGGGTGCTCCGGTTTCCCCCACAGTCAAAAGACATGTGGTACAGGTGAATTGGGTAGGCTAAATTGTCCGTAGTGTATTAGTGTGTGTGTGAATGTTTATGTGGATGTTTCCTAGAGATGGGTTGCGGCTGGAAGGGCATCCGCTGCGTAAAAACTTGCTGGATAAGTTGGCGGTTCATTCCGCTGTGGCGACCTTGGATTAATAAAGGGACTAAGCCGACAAAAAAATAAATGAATGTATTACACATTTGTCTTTAAAATAATGTCATAGTTTTCTGCCAAACGTCTTGCTGCTGTGCACCTGATACTGAGCAAAGTTAGCAATTTCTGTGCAGAACCTGGTTTGCATGATTGTTTCCAAGCAAAGCCTATATAATAATAACAATAATATTATTATTAATAATAAAAATAATAAAAAGCCTATAGTTTGTCGCCAAACTTCTTGCTGCTGTGCACCTGATGCTGAGCAAAGATAACCATTTCCGAGCAGCACCCGGTTTGCATGATCCATCGATATAAAATTATTACTTAATTACCCTAACCTGCCTAGTTAATCTAATTAACCTAGTTAAGCTTTAAAATGTCACTTTAAGCTGTATAGAAGTATCTTGAAAAATATCTAATTAAATATTATTTACTGTCACCATGGCAAAGATAAATGAAATCCATAATCAGAAATGAGTTATAAAAACTATTATGTGTGGAAATATGTTGAGAAAATATTCTCAACAAAATGAATAGGGGAGCTAATAATTGAAGGGACTTTAACTTATATATATATATATATATATATATATATATATATATATATATATATATATATATATATATATATATATATATATATATATATATATATATATAGCAAAAGAAAAACCCAAAAGTCAGTTTTCTTAATTTTCTTTTTTTTTTTTTTTTTTCTAATGAATACGGAATGGACAGAAGATACCCTGACTCTCAAGCAAAATGCCCTTACAGGTTTTTGTTACTTTGTTAATTTGTGTGTAACATGAAAAGACATTTTGGTCACTGACTTAAACTGCTTGGACATTTTTCAAAGTAGAATTGCGTGAAGATGACTGAATGATGAGTTTTTTTAGTCAGTTTGTTTATTTAATGAGTGAACTATGCCTTAAGACTGCAGTTATAGAATTCCCTGATTCTATTTTTATTTAAATATTACTATTTAACTACTTATTATTTTCATTTCAGTTTTAGGTATCTTGGTTCTTAAGTCACATAAAATATAGATATTCCACATTTTATTCTTAACGATTTTAAATAAGTATTAAATATTGGATTTATAAAAATGATTAGCTTTATTTTAATTAACAAATTTGTTGTAGTGTAGTTTTACAACTCTGGCTTCAATTAAATAGGGCACTATGAAAAGAAAGTAATTCAGATAGACAGAGCATTAAGCACCTAATGACCAAAAAAAAGTAAAGTTTTATACTAGTAGGTTGTTTTGACTTCCTATCCTATTTCGTGTAACCTGGATGGAGAAGGTCAAATGATTAAAGAACATCAGATTTTTCAAAAAGATTTCGGCTGATGAGCTGCCGTTTGAATTAAGATTCATAAGCGCACAACAGATTGGCGGTGACAATTTAAGTCTCTGATTGGTGTATTTTGGAGGATGTGAGTGCAGTGGAGAGTATGGAAGTGTAAACAGTCCTGATGGTGGAAGTTCAGTGTTCGGCTCTGATCAGCAGAGCAGTAAAGCTGAACCAGAGCCCTCAGAGAGTGAGTACAGACTTCCGTTTTACCAAAGGTCACAGTTTCTGGCATAAAGCTATTACAATTGGGGACACTAGAGGGGCAAGGAGAAATAATGGCAAGCATAGGTCTCTATGGTCTGGTGGGATAACAGAGTTCATGGTTTCTACATTAATTGTCTAAACATAATTGAGGTAAATTTTGGGCCAGTTGACCCAGTTATTTCTTCTTCTTTTTTTTCAGGCCACTGCTGCACTACAAATTCTACATGAATCATCTTGTATATCTATTATGTCTGGCAAACATAAACAGCTGTTTTCCGTGATGCATTCTACAATGTTGTTGCAAATACTGCTGATTTATCAATTAAACTATGTTAAATATAATATTTTTACAAATATGAATATGTTTGCAATGCTATGTTTAACACAAATTCAACTTGCAGTAAAAATGTTACAATAATAAAAAGTTTGGTCACACTTAATTTTATTGTAAAAGACATGCTATTAACAAAACATTAACTAAGAATTTCAGCTCAATAAACTATTAATTGCTAAGCTGATTATTAACGGTTAGTAAGGAAGTTTAGGTATTAGGTAGGTAGATATTAGGTAGTGCACCCAAACTGTGGAATGCTCTTCCCACTAACATTAGGAATGCTGGTTCATTGAACAGTTTTATGAAGCTACTTAATAATCATCTTTTTAGGACTGTTTTTAATTTGCGATATCTCTTTTATTCTTACTGTGTTTTTTGTATCTTTTTTATTGTTTTACTGTTGTTTTATTGCTTTGTTGTTTTTACTTTCTTGTAAGCGTGTAATAAATAAAACGTATTATTATTATTATTATTATTATTATTATTATTATTATTATTATTATTAGTGTGAATTGTCCCTTAAATATAAGTGTTAATAAAAGTTAGTTTGAACAATAAATTAAATAAATAAAAATTCAATAAAAAAATGCAGCACAACTGTTTTTAGCACAGATAATAATGCAATTATTCTTCTTAATTAATAATTTAAGAATAATTTCTGAAGGATCAACAAATAAACTGGACTCCAGCAATGCTAGCTTTGTCATCACAGGAATAAACTTTATTTAAAGAAACGTTACAAAAGTGAAACAGTAATTTAAACTTACTTTACTGTACTTTTATCTACAAACATCCACGTTGAGCTAAAAGTTTTTTATTAGATTTAAAAACATTATAAAATTCTCATCGACCCCAAAACTTTGTGGGGTAATATAGAATTAACAATTTATCGTGCTTTTATGAAAACAAATGCATTTTAGCAAAGGATGTTAAAAAGAAATTTCAAGAAAGAAATAGCTAACTTCTAATCGCAATTAATCATTCGTGTGTGGTAGAACTAGTGAAATTGTGAACTGTCCACAATAAAAAATAAATAAAAAATCATCAGCCCTGGTATTAGGCTGCACGATGTTGGACAAATCTGACATTGCGATATTTTGTTTTGCTGTGATAAATTACAATATGAATGTAAAGTCACCAGATGATTTAAATAGCTCTATTTGGAAAGATTTCTTTAATTCAGATCGACTAGGCTAATCAAGTCTTTTTCTATGCAGTGCATCAACATAAAATATAATCTATTACAAGCATTAATAAATAATGCAGTGATAATAATGCAATTGTTTAATATCAGTTGAGAATTTCATAATGACTTCTGAAGGATCAACAAATAAACTGGACTCCAGCAATGCCAGCTTTGTCAGGAATAAACTATATTTAAAGAAACTTTACAATGTGAAACAGTTATTCTAACTTGCTTTACTGTATTTTTTTATCTACAAACAGTCATGTTGAGCTAAAAGTTTTTTTATTGGATTTAAAAACATTATAAAATTCTTTTCGACCCCCAAACTTTGTGGGGTAATATAGAATTAACAATTCATGGTGCTTTTATGAAAACAAATGCATTTTAGCAAAGGATGTTAAAAAGAAATTTTAAGAAAAAATAGCTAACTTCTAATAGCAATCAATCATTTGTTTGTGGTAGAACCAGTGAAAATGTGAACTGTTCACAATTAAAAAAAAAAAAATCATTAGCCCTGGTATTAGCCTGCACGATATTGGAAAAATCTGACATTGCGATATTTTGTTTTGCTACGATATATAATTCAACAAGAATTTAATGTCACCAAATGATTTGAATAGCTCTATTTCGCAAGATTTCTTTAATATAGATTGACTAAGCTGATCAAGTCATTTTTTTATGCAGTGCATCGGCATAAAATATAATTGAATACAAGCTTTTATAAATACAACTGGAGCAAAAACAAAAGTTGTTTTATGATTTAACGAGATATCTAACAGTATTCAAATATAGAAATTGAACAATCAAATGTAAAATAAAAAGGTCATCATTCAATAAATAATTTTATACAATAATATATAATAATATTTAACAATATATTTGAAGAGTTCAGATGTAAAAACCTCAGTCTGAAAAGTCTAAAAATTTCCATTGAAAATTAAAAATTTTCTCAGCCTCCTTTGTTTAGGTTAAGATATTTCACTTTAAAGACCAGGAAAAGGACTAATTCTTTGCCATTAAAGTGGTATTACTAAACATACACACATAATTGTGTGTATTCACACAAATTTCAGATGGCATTTAGAGGTCATTGCATCTAAACTCTTCATTTATTTTTTAATCTTTATTATAATCTAATCCTGCGATGTAACTATTGCGGATACACGCACTATGATATCGATGCTCAAACTATATATTGTTTATCCCTACCTGGTATTATACAAAAAAACATATTTTTTTTTAATCCACTCTAAACAAACAGTTATGTTGAAATAATAATACCAATATATAATATATTTTATACATTAGTCTTCCATAAATTTGTATCCATTAAAATGCAGGAATAAAAATTCACATAATATCCAAATGTACCTTGATGGCTCAGCTTCTGTTATGTCTCCTTTGAAAGAAGCGTTCAGTCTTGTTTCTCTAGAAGCGAGATCATCAACAAGGCTCTGTCTTCTGTCTGCTTCAGCTTGCATTCTGGAATTTTTCATTAAGGCTTTAAATTGACACATTTATGACTGCGTTATTATGCTCATCTCACAGACTGCTATGCTAAATCATCATAAAAACACCAACTTATGAATAGAACATTCACTTTTAATTACTACAATTGCAAATCCACCATCACCGAAGGACTACTTCACCCGTTCTTAAACTGGTTTGTTGTTAAACATTGCCCTCTATAGGTGCTCATGAGAAATCACCGTTTTGTCTTATTAAAGGGATAGTTCACCCAAAAATGCTAATTCTGTCAAAATGTATTCAGCCTTTTATGATTTTCTTTCTTGTGTTAAACACAACAGAAGCTATTTTAAAGATGTAACCAATGACCTCCTCAGTATTTGTTTTGTTTTTTTTTCTAACATAGTAGTCGATGGTAACAAGTTTTCAGCTTTTCTTAAAATATTTTCTAAGAACCTTATAATGGGTTGGAACCACTTAAGGGTGAGTACTTGAATTATTTGTCTGAGAACAACCTCTTTAACTGCCTAAAGTGGAGATTCTGTTTTTGTTCACGCACAGTTCATGTAACCAATAGGTTAATACCTACTCTGTAGAATAAAAATGTAAAAATTTTAGATGCTATGGGATTTTAGTATGCCACTGTGAACTTCTAAAATAATAACAAAACAGAGATTGAAAAACTTTCTGATTGGATCATGAAGCTGAATTTAAACACCTGTCTCATTAACCATTTAGTTTATTGGAAACAGCTTCACTAATTGTACTGATACGGTTGTTCAATTCACTGATGAGCAAATAATAAACTCTGTGCCTCTACTACTGAACATAACTTAACCAAGAATGCCACATATATGACTTAAACAGGATTTTTATCATAGTTTTAAGTAATGGGCAAACATATGTGAGCTAGGGGCAAGTTTTGGGCACTTGCAGTTTATTTATACATCACCTGCCTCAGTATTTTAATCACTATCAAGCATGGTTTAATATATTTAGACAGTTATGATAAAAGACCAGATTATACACATCATCAATAATAGATCATTTGTCCAAGCTAGCAGACGTGCCTAAATATGAACACACTTTATTTTAAAGCATTAGATGTTGTCCTTTCTTTCTTTTTACTCTCATTTTTATTATCATACATTAATGCGCATTGTTGTTACTCCCTACCTCTGACTGGTTTCTTTCTAGATGTTTTATCTATATCTGTGACACTTGCTTCATTTATTGACTGTTATTGTTCCTTATGTATGTACTCTGACCTGTCCACCAAGTTACCTTTACATGCATACACACACTCACGCACATGCCAGTACATAACTATATTGTTGTTGTTTTTGTTTTGTTTTTGTTTCGTTGCTTTGTATTTGTTATTTGTTGACGTTTTCTTGTATTTGTATGATTTTTGCATATTCTAATAAAAAAATTAAAAATTAAAAAAAAATTTAAAAAATAAAGCATTAGAGCATTTTCTGATTTCTGGAAGAGTCCTGTTTCTTATTTATCACAGCATTACATAAACAGGAAAATAATTAGAATTTATACCTAAAAGTACTACTGGAACTCACCTTAACCTATGTAGATAACTTATATGACCCAGGATTTTCCTTGGCAAGTACACTGAAAGTACAAGATGATTACTGTAAAATAAAGTGCAACCTATGCAATATTGTGTTCATGTTCTGGACATGTAGTTCACATCACCATTGAGGTGTTTACTGGGTTTACTTGTCTTTTGATATTACTGGAGATATCAATGGATATCAATGGTACAAGACATGTCTTGCCTTTTAGGGGGTCATTCCTATAATGTTGTTATATCACACTAAACTAAAAATAGGACTTCTTTTATTGTCTAGATATGAAATTCATTTTGAAAATGATAATAATAATTTATTCAAATGTCTGATTTTATGTTTTTTCAGGAGAAAAAAACAGCATATAGGATTCAAACTAATTTAGAAAATCTTAGTTCTCAATGATACTGCAAAACAAACAATCATAAAGAAGTCATTATAATCCTAATTTCTGGATTCAACTTTCTTGGTTTTGTGAAGCAACCACACAGAACTACAGGACAACCCCAAAACATAGTCAATTCTGAGTGTGATTCATACAAGTGAATGGGCTTGACAAACCACCTGTAGAAAACACAGTCTTTCATCTCTCTGACACCTAACCCTAACCGACACTTCAATCAGTTTGCACATTTGCACCAGGCACGTTCTTACAATCACTTCATATCTTTAAAAAAACTATGCATTCATGAAGTGTGCCTCACACAGGTAAGTGGGCTTAACAAACCACCTGTAGAAAACATGCTCTTTCATCTCTCTGACACTTCAAACAACACTTGCATCAGTTTGCACATTTGCACCAGGCACATTCTTACTATTACTTCATATCTTTAAAAAAAAACTATGCATTCATAAAGTTTGCCTCACATAGGTAAGTGGGCCTAACAAACCACATGTAGAAAACACACTCCTTCATCTCTCTGACACTTTAAACAACACTTGCATCAGTTTGCACATTTGCACCTGGCACATTCTTTCAATCAATCCATATCTTAAAAAAAACACTATACATTCATGAAGTGTGCCTCACACAGGTGAGTGGGCTTGACAAACCACCAGTAGAAAACACACTCCTTCATCTCTCTGACACTTTAAACAACACTTGCATCAGTTTACACATTTGCTCAAGGCACATTTTTACAATCACTTCATATCTTTAAAAAAAAAAACTATGCATTCATGAAGTTTGCCTCACACAGGTGAGTGGGCTTAACAAACCACATGTAGAAAACATGCTCTTTCATCTCTCTGACACTTTAAACAACACTTGCATCAGTTTTTGCACATTTGCACAAAGCACATTCTTATAATCACTCCAAAAAACACTATACATGTAGTTCCTGTAAAAACACCTTTCACTCTCTCTCAAAAAAAGAAAAATAAACTCCCTCCTCCTAATGCTGGCACTTAATTCTCTGGCCACAAACAGTCCCTTTGTATTACTGGCACTCCTTGACTGTATTGCCTCTTCAATCGCTGAATGATTCCTCAATTGTAAGGCGCTTTGGCCTCTGTGAAATGAAAGTGCAGTCAAGTAAATGAAAGGATACATATGGCGTTGAACAGCTGCTCGATTCAGAGTCTCTCTGAGTTGTGCTATATTCTGTTTTAGCTTCTGTAATGATGCTCTCAGGGTCATGTTGATCTACATGGATGGAAAAGCAACAAGAGAGATTATTATATTGTGTAAAAGATTGGTTAACTATCTCATGTAAACCAGGGGTCTCAAACTGCCTGGCTGTGGGCCATTTGTGGCCACCCTCCTCCTTTTTCTTTCAGCCCGAAATTGACATGAAAAATATAATGAGATTCGGCCCAACAAAAAATATATTTTTTTAGAGTCACTATCTTTGTGCAGTTGCATATAGCCTCTTATGTTTTTGACCCCCACCTACAGGACATTTAAAGTACTGTACAATATATGCAGGTTACTTTCTGTTTCTCTCAGTGTGCAGTTGAGAGTAATGCACATGCAGATTATTTCTGGGGCTAATGTAAAAGTTGAAACATATGTCTGTACGTGCTCTATTTTTACAAACACCTCTTCAAGGCTTACACGTTATGTTAGTAGTGTAAATATGATTATTTTGCTAATATTCAATTCAAAAATGTATCCTTAATATATTTTTCTAATATGCATATTAAGAATTGTATAAAAAATGTGCATTAGTAAAATTTTACTGCTGGCTAAATTGCACATGTTAAAGTAAACGTGAATACATACATAAAAACGTTTCCTCTCTTGTAGTTTTAAAAAAAAAGAAGGACATTGAGAAGAACAATTGCCAGTACAATCAACAAAGTTATTCAAACTCTTTTCTGATGTTTTACGCTATCGGTTAAACATCTGGTTAAGCAACAATTGATTGGGACATAATTATGATTATTATGCTTATATAATGTGGTATTTTCATAACAATTTAAACAACCCCTTCAACATATACAACGAGAAACTAAAAGGAGTTTTGATAAACTGGGGAAGAATGTATGAGTGTAAGAATGTATCAATTACATCAGATTTCCACTTTTTTCTTGTGCTTCATATGAATCGTCAGTCACTAATATGGCCCCCCGCCATTGAGTTTGAGACCCCTGATGTAAACAATCAAATCCTGCCTTGCCTTGGCTGGGTTTCCTCCAGTCCTCTGCTGTCTGTTTCTTTCATGGATGTTTTCTGCAATTTCTTGAGCCAGCCTACAAGCTGCATCATAATTTTCTAACCTGTAAACAAAACACAGATTACACTTATCAAAATCTTCCAATGGGGATCATGAGATAAGGGTTTCCAGTTATTTAAATCACAAGGTTGTCATCAACACAATCATGTGACAATCAAATGTCAGCTAACCGGCTTGGCAACCTTTACAAGACGCGTAAAAACAGCAATATGTGAACGAAAACATAATTGATCAATTAAAGTGTAGGGTAAAATGAGCCCTGGGGAGTAGAAAAAAAAATAGATAAATTAGTCTAGCGTTAAAGTTAAACTGATCTGACTGTCAGTTACAGATGCACTAAATTAATAGTGTTGAAGTCTGAAGTCTAACGTACTGTCCTGCCATGCAGATCTAACATGACAGTAAATAATAATAGTATAGGCGCTCACCAAAGGTCTTTTGACATGTTGCGGTACTTTTGTTTCGAGTTTGCAAAAAGCGTTTTAGCAGAAACTCACAGCAAAATCACATCAACATAAACTGCGCAGTGCCACTTCCTGTTAAGGAACGACGTCATACGGTGGCCTTTCATAGACACACTTCATACGGTAACCGATGTCTCGTTGTGTTTATCCTGCGATGTCTCTTTTTATCAGTGACAAAATTGCTGATAATGTAAATAAAGTCTTATTGAACTTCATATGGAAGAATAAAACCCATAAAATTAGAAAATCAGTCTCATCTAATAGGCGCTCAGAGGGTGGATTAGAGGTTTTAAATTTCAAAGATTTAATTAGGCCTAGCTCATTTAGAATTAATTGGCTACAAAGATGTCTCCGTAGTAATAATTCAATTTGGTACCATATCCCCAATGTTATATTTGATAAATTAGGTGGCTTAGACTTTCTTTTAAAATGTAATTTATTCCCTTCTAAATTGCCAATTTCCCTCTGTAATTTTCACAAACAAGCTTTACTTGCTTGGAAATTGTGTTACGTGGACAATTTTTCCCCACACAAAGAAATTCTTTGGAATAACTCTAATGTCTTAACTCGTGGGAAATCTCTTTTTATTGATAAGTGGTTTGAAAGAGGAATTGTTTTTGTTTTGGACTTATTTTAAAATGATGGCAATATTTTGGAATATGAATAATTTATGACATTGTATAACTTCTCTTTGCCAGCTTAATCCTTCAACTGTGTTCTAAAGAGTTTGTCACAAAGTTATGTGCATTTATTTAAGACTTTTCTTTACTTTAATGAGAGGGAAACAATTATGCCTGAACTTTTTTTGGATGGAGTGTCTTTTTTTGATAAAAAATGTGACAACAGACATGTCAGACGATTGTTACATTACTCTGTATATACCACCCCAAGATGTAAATTTTATGGTTATTACCTGACAAATTCAGCATATCCAACAAAATAGGAGAGATACATTTTAAGATCTTGCATAATGTTTATCCTACAAATTCCCAAATTGCAAATTATTTTGATATATCTAATTTGTGTACTTTCTGCAATATACATGAAGAGACTTTATTTCACTTATTCTATAGTTGCATTCACATTAAACATCTTTGGAATTACATTATTTTTTATTTATCATCCATTTTTAAACATGATTTAAATTTGTCTATAAAAGATATATTTCTATATTTCTTGGATGATGATCATGCTCTCGATCTTATTGTAATTTTTTTTTTTTGTGTTACTCTGTAAATTTTTTATACACAAAAATAAGTTTCTAAAAACAATACCTATTTTTAATACTTTCCTTGTTGAAATTTCGTACAATATTGAATCTCTTAAGCTTATTAATTATAATAATAAGAAGAAGTTTCTTAAAGCTTATGACAATCTTTTTTTGAGGCTGTGTATTTTTTTTTCTCTCTGTCTTCTTTCTTATTTTATTATTGTATTTTTTCTTCAATGCAGTGATGTTATTATTCTTGTATTCAATAAAAAAAAAATTAAAAATAAAAAAACTTCATACGGTAACCGGATAAGAGCTGAACAAGTCCTTTAGCAGTTATAGGGATTTTAAAATAATTGAGAAATTCACAATAATTAAAAAGTTGTCCATTATTTTTTAATAACTGTCTCACCAATATAATATCAATATTGTAACAATTTCTTTGGTACAATAATGATATTGTACTCAATCTGTTTGGTTTTCTACTGATTTGTGTCTTTGATGTGAAAAATGTAAGCATTGTATTCCTCATTTTTGTATGCTATTGTTCTTGTTATGAAAAAAGTATATATATATATATATATATATATATATGTATATGCAGTGGCACAGTAGGTAGAGCTGTCGCCTCACAGCAAGGTCGCTACGTCGCTGGTTCGAACCTCGGCTCAGTTGGTGTTTCTGTGTGGAGTTTGCATGTTCTCCCTGCCTTCGCGTGGGTTTTCTCCGGATACTCCGGTTTCCCCCAAAGTCCAAAGACATGCGTTACAGGTGAATTGGGTAGGCTAAATTGTGTATGAGTGTGTGTGGATGTTTCCCAGAGATGGACGGCTGGATGGGCATCCGCTGCGTAAAAACTTGCTGGATAAGTTGGCGGTTCATTCCGCTGTGACGACCCGGATTAATAAAGGCTGACAAGAACATGTATGAATGAATATATATATATATATATATATATATATATATATATATATATATATATATATATATATATATATATATATATATATATATATATATAATGGGACGAGCTGACATGTTGTTATGTAAAAACTAAGATAGATGATGATTTGTATCTGTATTTTTATTATCATTTTATGTTAATTTAACTTATAGCTAGGGCCACACGGAATCTGCGCAAGAAAAAATCTGCCAATTTGAACCAATTTTTAGTCCATTATTGAGTCTACTTATTTACTTTAAATGTGTAAATTTATGTTTAATAATTTTTTGGTTTATTTACAAATTGGTTTATTTACAATATATTGTAAAGTGATATTTTCTGTCTTTAGTAGATATATCATAGGAGAGACTTACTTTGTTTACTAAATAAGTGGATCTAATTAAATATGCATTGTAAACATTAAAAGTTAAAAAGGTATTGTTTTTATATCATATATTAAGCTTGTAGTTACGATACTTCCAAATCTGTTGATTTTTTACAAAATTCTGCGCAGAAACAGCAAAAACTGTCAGCAGATTCTGTTTGGCTTACGTATAGCCTACCTCTAGAACTGAACTGCTGAATGCAGCTGAATATGTTGGTACATGTTGGTTGGTTGTTTTTCTATTGTTGTGGAAGTAGTCATTTTATGAGAGTCTACTTTCACTAAAAAGTATATATATAAAGATGCTTGTGCTGCTGAATATGAGACTTGGAGATGAATGAACAGTAGACAATGTAGTTAGCTCAAGCCTACTGTGTTTATTTGTTTGATTGTTTTGATGTGTTTGCACTAATTTTGTAAACTAGGTTTTCAAGTCTGTTTGATCCCACACACTGCCATTTTACCCAATGGTTTTTACACAATCTATAGGTTGCCAAAATAAAGCTTACTGAAGTCATGGAAGACAATAAACTGGTCTATTAATTTTATAATTTTTTTCCAAACATATAGTTGTTGACTAGTAGAAAATGTGAAAAGCAAATTCACCTACACAAATCACAATTGATGGTTGTGTGTGATGTGTTGTAAAGCAATGAAAATTAGTATAGGAAAAGGTATTTTTTTGCATTTTATTTTTATTTTTATTTTTTTTTTGTAAAATAATTTATATTTCACTTTTTACACTAATAGTTGTACACTCAAAAAATGATGCTTGATGTTTTTTCAAAAAACATATTTAAAATGAGCTAAACAACACTACTATTGGGGTTTTCGAGGGGGGGGGGGTTAATTAATTGTAATTGTAATTATTGTAAATTGATTTTACAATCCACTTACAATTGTAAAAACTAATAAGTTCTAATAACTTAACTAAATAAATTCTTTCATTTTGTCTCAACAATCGATTGTGTGTAACCCAGCATTTTTTACTGTGTATGTTGCAAGCTCCTTTAACATCCTCCATTTATTCATTCATTCGTTTTCTTTTCTAATTCCCTTTATTAATCAGGGGTCGCCACAGTGAAATGAACCGCCAACTTATCCAACATATGTTTTACGCAGCGGATGCCCTTCTAGCTGCAACCCAACACCGGGACACACCCATACACCAATTTAGCTTATTCAATTCACCTATGTCTTTGGACTGTGGGAGAAACTGGAGCACCCGGAGGAAACCCACACGAACAAGGGGAGAACATGCAAACTCCACACAGAAACAGCAACTGACCCAGCAGGAGCCCAAGACCGCAATCTTCTTGCTGTGAGGCGATTATGCTACCCACTGAGCTACCGTGCTGCCCACAATGATAATAATTAACCTAATTGTGCTGTTTTTAAGCTTTGACAACAGGACCAAACCTTTGCATGCTGGTTATAAATTTAACACATACAGTAGTTGGTTAATTTATGTTAGGTCATTTCACATGTTATACATATTAACTTATTTGTCTAATTCATTGATTAACTTAAACATAAATACATTTATTTATTTGTAAATACATTTAAATAAATAAATAAATACATTTATTACTACTTGTAATGACTGGAAAATTCAACCAGTTAAAATGTTGTGACTGAACGACGACTCATAACCTGACTGCTGTCCATAACCAACTGTAATAAAATCATATTATCAAATTATAAAATAAACAATAGAGATTCATAACAACATCAGCCATTGCAGTGAATTCTTATTAGCAAAACACGTGAACATGTTAGCAAAACAACATGTCAAGGCTTTTATGGTATATAAGTGAAGTGATCTTTATCAACTATTACACATCAAAAAAAGATTGAACCCATTTAAGTGAGTAGTTAGAGCACACACTTTAGCCTGCATTTTAGACATGACAATTTTGTTTTAAACCCAAACTAATGAGTGTTTAAATAAATGACAATATGTTGAAATATGTTTGAATTTCCTGGAAAAAGCACCCGTCAAAAATATGTATCCAGTATAAACAATTCTGCAACACTCCAAATGGACAGATTTTGTCTTTGTTTTGAGAGTTGTTGCAACACAGTTTTACATAGCTAATTTTACATACGTTTTTTTTTTTTTTTTTTGGATATATATATTATTCTGTCAACATTGATAATACATTGTATGTTTTTTTCCAAAAAAAAAAAAAAAAAAAAAAACACATTTTATATAAACCTTTTACCTTGTTATTTCACATCAGATATCTACAGATACAGATATCTAAAACTATCCACTGTTTATTGTAGTACTTCAGGCACTTGGTCATCAACAAGTCTCTCAGGCCATCACAAAGAAAAAACACATCTGTGAAGATAATTTTTGTTTAAGTCTCTGTAATGTGAACTGGTGGCCTTGATTAATGTTCCTTTTTGGCTCCACAAATATGTTGATAATGTGCAGGGTGACGGTAAAATACAGTGTGTAAAGGAGACAGAGTGTGGCATGCTCTCGATCTCTCATAAGAAAGCCTGACACGGATAGAAGTTAAATAAGGTCTTTCTATGCATGTGACAGAAGATGTAGGACTGGATGATTTTAGAAGATCATTTGCTGTCAGACAAAGAGCAAAATCACTACACCATAAGGTAGAGAGAATAAACACCACATCAAAAATAATAATCAAAAGACAAAGGAAACAGTTGTGTACTATTAATCTTAGCCAGGACACTCTCAAAAAAAAAAAGATTTTTAATCACAATGTTCTTCTTTCGTAGTAAAATGAAGGTTATACTACTACTACTACTACTACTACTACTACTACTAATAATAATAATAATAATAATAATAATAATAATAATAATAATAATAATAATAATTCATCCATGCAAATCAGAAAGGATCATAAGAGAGCTTTCTTTCTTAGCTCTAGAGATTCTTAGCCAGCATTGATTAAAAAAAGGATTATTCAATTCTAGTAAGAAATAATAATCAATTTTTAAATAATATCTACAATCATGATTAAACACATTTTACCATGGGTTGTCACAATAATCATACTTTTTGCTTTTATTTCCAGTAAGACCATTCTTAATTTTAATAATAAAATAAAATAAAACATTGCATAACAATATGATTTATATAACATTATCTCCATTATGTAATTTCATTGGTCTTTATTCTGACAAATAAAAAGACAACAAAGTTGCTAAACCTACCTATTATTATTATTTTTTTTTATTATTATTATTATGTATTATTATTATTATTATTATTATTATTATTTTATTGCATAAACCATCAAGAACAAACACACACAATATAAAAGATGAAACATAAAAAAGCTAATATAACAATGGTAAGAAACAAAAAACAACAAACAAACAAAAAAAAATAAATACACAAAGCGTGTGTACAGCATTTCTACAACCAATGATTTTAAGCGGAATCAAAAAAAAAAAAATTGCTTACTTATTAAAAATGCAGCCTTGCATGACGTCTGAACCAATAAGCTCTAAACAAAATAAAGCTGTTCAAATGAATCGATTCAGTGAAATGAACCGCCTGCTCTGCAGCTAAGCAACGAGCATAAACACAGCGTGCGACTGCTGCCTAGATACATTTGTTTGGCTCGCAAAGCCAGAATTGTTTTCGATTCATAGTCTGAAGCTGAAAGTATCACGATGGCAGATGACACACAAGAAGTCCCTCAACTAGCATTAGAGGCTGTGATAGGTTTTAATGGTAGGTGAATTGTAAAAGCTATTTATTATTTGCAAATTTGAACTATAACTTCTACTCACCGTCTGTTGGTTATACAAGTAACGTTATGCTTTACCGAGGCATCTGCATTTGTTTATACAGGACACGTGTTTTCTGGACTTAAAGTACATCCAGACAAAGAACATCTCATTTATCCTCTTGGCTGCACTGTTATTATTAAGAGTCTGAGAAGTGGAAAACAAAGTTTCCTCCATGGCCACACAAACAATGTCTCTTGCATTTCTGTGTCTAAAAGTGGACGCTATATTGCATCTGGACAGGTTACTTTCATGGGCTTTAAGGTAAGCATTTGCAAAAATATTTAAGTCTAAATGGTAATGACATCAATGGTATTATGCTTAGTTTTACTGGAAGAAAGTGCACCCAAAAAGTGCTTTCTTAAAAACGTCATATACAAAAATAAAAGTGCCATCACTCTCCACTTGTTCTAAAAAATGTTTGTTTCCTTCATGTATTAAACACACAAGAAAATAATTTAAAGTATTTTTATAGACCCCCATGCTCGTTTCCCTTATGTTGAATTGAATGGCTGCCAGTTTTTCTAACATTCTACAAAATGTTCAACAGAAGAAACCCACAAAGATTGGAACCACTTAAGGAAATGATGGCAACTTTCATTTTTATTTCATTTTTGTGATCTTGTTTATTCTTATTCTTATAACTTTATTGAAGTAAAATATGTTATGTATTTCTCACTTTAGGCTGATGTTATTATCTGGGACTATGAGAAGAAGGAGATTTATGCTCGTCTTTTGCTTCATAAAGCTAAAGTTGAAGATCTCAGCTTCTCCCCAAATGATAAATATTTGGTATCACTGGGTGGACAGGATGATGCCAGGTAAAACTGACACTACTACTGATCTTGAATTTATATTTCAGATATTTTTCAGATATTCTTTCTACTTATGTGAATTATCACTATATGTATGATTTCTACATTTTTTATTTCTACTATGTCAAGTCATGTTTAGCCTGTTAATGTGCATTATTGTTTTAGTATAGTAGTGTGGAACATCGAAAGTAAGGAGGCTATATGTGGCAGTCCTGCTTCAGCACAGAGTGCTGGTCACTGCCTCGCCTTAGAGTACACCAACTTGAGTGATGAAATCTTTGTCTCTGCTGGAAAGTAAGTTGAGCATATTTATTTACCATGTATACATATAAATATAGACATTTTAAAGAAAAATGTAAGTATATTTTATTTGTGTGATTATGTCAAAGCTGAGTCTTTAGGCCACCAACTTTGTTTTCACTGCCATTGTAATTATTTAAAATATGTGGATTTAGTGCTCAAACAATATTAGGTAAGACTTCTATATTGTAGATTCAGAAATCAGTTGGTTAATATATACTATACATGTAGTTTATGTTAAATGATTAGCTTTTTACCTTCTGCAAACATTAATTCTACATAATTTTATGACATTTCTTTCAAGTGGAACTCTGCGTGTGTGGGAACTAGATTTGCTTAACAGAAAGATCCGGCCCACCGAATGTCAGACAGGACAGCTCAAGAGAATTGTCAAATGTCTTGAGGTGAATGAAAACCATTACTAAATTTGGTCGTGTTGTGGGTCTCTCACTTCATACCATACCATAGATGCATGTGAGGAAGATTTAATGGCTAAAACGAGTATATAAGATTTTATCATTAAATGAGGGGTTTGTTCTTTGCAGATTCCAAATGATGATAATTATTTCTACTGTGGAACTACAAGTGGAGATATTCTGAAAGTGAACCTGAAGACAAGGTTGCTCAACAGCTGTGGCCCCGTTAAACAAAAATTCAGCAAGGTGATTTTTATTTTTTCACCAGTGGTGGACAAAATATTTTTTACTTTATTAATCTAAAAAGAATTTTCGGCAAAATATTATAATATTTTACTGTACTCTTGCATTTATGTATGGTACTGTATGGGCTACTGGTTAAGTTGCATGTAATTCGATGAGGAGTTCTGGACTTGAGATGTTTTCTCTAGGAAACCATAATAATTCTTTTGGTTTTAGTTGACCACCACATGAGTTTAAGATGTATTTGGCATTGCAGTCCCATCACCCAGGAACGGAGGATTCAAGGATTGAATATTTGTTATGAATGGTAACTATGAGAAAGGCTTTCCATACCTGTTGGATACAATTTATTCTGGCATTCCATAGTATCTGAGGACTGGGATGAACAAGAGTTCAGCAGTTTCAGTTCCCTTTAAGGAAGTAAACAGCAAGAACTGGAGAACTGATCTACAATTAGAACATTTACATTTAGAACACTTACAAGCTTTTGGCCAAAGTGACTGTAGATGATTAATTGTGCAAGATGATAGTCCAGCCAGAAGAGCATTACAGTAGACCAGCCTAGAAAGTACAAGAGATTGGGCTAGATCAGGGATGGGCAAACTTGATCCTCGAGGGCCGGTGTCCCTGCAGAGTTTTGTTACAACACTAGTCAAACACACCTGAACAAACCAATCAATATCTTCAAGATCACTTGAACTCTATATGGAGGTCTGTTTGAATAGGGTTGGAGCTAAACTATGCAGGGCACTGGCCCTCCAGGATCAAGTTTGCCCACACCTGGGCTAGATGCTGTGCAGCATGGAAGGTTGTGATGTTTCTGATGTTGTAAAGTGCAGACCTTTGAGATCATGCTGTTTGTAATGTGTTCTTTGAAAGACAACCAGTCAACCCAGATAACCCCAGATTTCTTTGCTGAATTAAGTGGATAGATTAGATTATCCCAGCTAAATATTCTCACGCAGTACAAGACGAATGATAAGAGAAACCTTGTGATTGGATAATGATGTAGATTGAACATAGAAAAGGACCAAGAACAGATCTCTGATGTACTCCTGTGAGCTGATATGCTTTGGACAGCTCACCTCTACAGGCAAGACTCAGAATGGGGTAGTGATGCCCATTGAGGAAAGGGTGCATAAGAAAAACTGATGATTCACAGTATCAAATGCAAACATATAGGTCCATTGAAAGCAGAATTGATCATTTGTAACCTGCTTTCCACAGGGCTTCGGTGACTGAAACTGGTCCAGTAGGTTATTCTGTGCAAAAAATTCTGAAAACAACCATTTACAGTGTTTTAGCTATGGCTTTAAGCCATGACAGTCCATTCCTGGATGAAACATCACCATGTCTTGACATGTTGGTCAAACAGAAGCAATATTTTTAAGAGGGTGTTGTTATTGGGTGTAGAGTGTCCATTGCTTAAAGATGAGTGAAGCTGCAGTCACACTGGGCTTTTCCTCCCATAGATTTCCATTCATACGCACACAAATGCGTCAGACCACAAACGCAGGGTCATGCGTTAAACTTTGCAGGTTGCTGCGGTGCAAAGTTCAAGCTTGGTGAACTCTGACCTGCAAAATCCCATCACTTGACTGCGTGAGACCAATCGAGGATCAAAATATGACCTCTCTGGACAGAAATTTAAAACATGAAACAATCGCTCGCTTTTTTAAATGTCTAATAAGCTTTTTTAATCTCACCCTTTTCGCAGCGCCGTACGACAGAATTTCGCACACACAAACTCTAGTGTGACCGTAGCTTGAGGCGAGTGTATTGCATGCTGAGCTTGTGGAACATAAGTATGTGAGCAGAATAGTTCTGTTCATAGAATTCGAAAAACAGTATGCGTGGAGTACCCGGATGACATACTATTTCCAGCTAATTTCTGAAGTGTGCATTCGATGGACTCTACGCTATACCATAATGCACTGCGAGATAATTCATTAATGAAAGTGAAGCACCGCAACTGACAGGTGATCATGACAAATGTCAGATGTAATAACTTCTGAGCTCCTTTCATTCTTAACATAAGTTGTGTATTAAATTCAAATGTTGTACCTACTGAATAGTAGTCCATTTTGGATGCAGCCAAACAGTGCATGACAGCCTGCTGTGACTGACACAGCAGCAATATACTTTCGGAACCAAACTGACAACTGATTAAGCTGCAGTAATTATGCTTCATACAACTTAATTTAAATAAACTTGTATGATCATGGTGATGTTTTAACTGACTGAAATTATGATTGATGACTATACTTTGATGTTGAGTCCCAACATGGGAGATAATTACAAATGATGCCATTTCGTTGTAGATTAAAAAAAATAAAATGAAATAAACATCTGCTTTTTTCAACTGGTCAAAAAAAATTTATTTGATTTTAGCACACCTTTGTGAATACAGCTAAGAGCACAGCACAGGTAAGTAATTCAACTTGTAATAGCAACACCAGACAAAAAGGAGAGACCAAATGTGCTCCAAGAAGTGTTCTTTTAACTAGCGTTCTTAACTGAAGAGCTGATTAGGTGCAGGTGTAGCTTATTTAAAGGCTGGTAACAGGAAACGTTTTGATTGGGTGACAGAGCGCCATGCAAAATTATGACAACTAGACAGTATATTTTGTAATTTTTTCTTATGAATTACACTTTTTATAAATGATCTTCTAAAGTTATCAGCATATGACAAAAAACATATTATTCCATCAGTACTATTTAGTTTTAAAACAAAAAAGAAAAGTACTTTTGTACTTGTACTTGTAAAAAAAAAAAAAAAAAAAAAAATATATATATATATATATATATATATATATATATATATATATATATATATATATATATATATATATATATATATATATTTTTTTTTTTTTTATATATATATATACTTACCACTATTTACCACTTAGCATTTTGACTGAAGCATACATATATATATATATATATATATATATATATATTACTATTCTGGACTATTTTTATTTTGATAGTTTGTCCACCACTGGTTTTAACAGAGCAGTCAACTAATATTTTAGCTTGAAGTTGCCTTATATATCACATATGCAAACAATATACAAAAAAAGATCTGGAGCATTTAATGCAAAGAAAGAAATGCAAAGAAATGTTTATTTTAAGGTTTTTAGGTAAAATGTAATTTCACAGTTTACTTTTTTCTTATTGCAGGGAGTCAACACTCTTAAAGTCTTGAAGACTGGTGACATTTTAGTTGGATCAGGAGACGGGATGTTGACTTTGTGCTCAGGAGCCAATTTCAAAACCATTAAGTATGTAACAAACCTCGTTTCCTTTTTTAAAATGTGTTTCTCTTTGTTTTCCTTTCACTCTTCTATTTCTTGTTACCCACTATTTATGGTTAACTAATTATTTGTGACAGGAGTGTTCAGTTGGAAGGAGGGGTGACATCAGTGACCTTGCGTGGAGACGGACACCAGTTCTATGTTGGCACAGAAGCAGCACAGATGTACAGTTTAAGCTACACTGACTTCAAACCAGAGCTCACTGCTACAAACCACAACAGTGCAGTAAAGGATGTGGCCTTTCCTTTGTGAGTAATGCAACTTCAGTGCTTTATGAGCGTCTTCCTTTAGCCACTAGAGGGAGACATAAGCCACAAACCACAGATTGCACTGACCGTCCATGCTCACAGTTGTGCAAATCTCCTAATGCTATGCTATTCTCAACAGTGGGACATCAGAGCTCTTTGCCACCTGTTCACACAACGATATACGAGTGTGGCATTCTGAGTCGTCCAAGGAGCTTCTGCGTATTACGGTGCCTAACATAACATGCCATGCTCTTGGCTTCATGCGAGATGGAAGGAGCATCTTTAGTGGTCAGTTTCAAACAGGATGATCCTAATGTATTTTACTTTGAAGTGTTATAGGTACATTAACTATAGACACAAACACAACATGACACTAATTGGCATTGAAGTATTCAAACTTTTAGCATAAATAAATAATTGATTTTAAATACTGTATAATTATTTTATTTATTTTGTTTTATTTTTATTTTAGACTACTTTGTTATTATCTATTTTGAAATAATTAGATTATTTAGATCTTAAAACATGCATTAACTGCCATTAAAAACAAATAAATGAAACGAAACAAAACAAATTACCAAATAATGAAAAAATTATTTGTATATTTATTTTCTCAGAACATTTAAATATTAAAAGTAACCTGATTTTTGAAAGTGTGATATCTAAACTCAGAAATGTAAATTAACAGTTCTGACACCAATTGCCATTTTAATGTAATAAATTAATATACAGTATATTTTTCTATTCAGGCAAAGCTCTAAAATATTTTAGTTTATGTTTTTAAAAATAAATCTGTATCAGCTAAACAGCAAAGAACTGGTCAGTTTATGTTGCCTTTGAATATGGTTATAGCCAATACGGGGACTTCAAAAGGTTGTCAGAAAGTTGAGAACTAATGCACAAAAATATATCATTAAAATGAATAGCCATAGAGTCATTAAGATAATATATATTTAATATTAAAAATGTTTGTTGATCGTTTCATTGGCCTTTTTCTTTATTTGCTTCCTTTTTGTCAGCTTGGAATGATGGGAAGATTCGTGTGTTTACCCCAGAAAGTGGGAAGCTAAAGCTAATTATTCATAATGCCCACAGTATGGCTGTAACTACTATAGCTGCGACCAATGACTGCAAGAGGATCGTCAGTGGAGGAGGAGAAGGACAGGTACATTATTTCACTTAAATATAATAACAAATAAACAGTTATAAAATACTGATCTGTGCTTAAATTTGTATTTGAAGGCAAAGAGGTAAAAATTAGAAAACTCAGCTATGCCATTTCAGGAAAAAAAAAAAACTTTATGCACATTTTGAGTTAAATTGTCAAATCCGTAGTTTACCATTCGATATTGAACAATATTTACATTTTACATAACCATTTAAAGGGGTAGTGAATTTTTAAATAAATTATTATGTTGTCTGAGGTTAACTCATGAAGTTTGTGTGGTTTTTACTTTCCAAAACATCAACAACTTTATTTTTTGGGCACTCCACAATGATGACTTGAAAGTAAATGCCCATTGCTATGATTGCATAAAAAGCTCTACATAGTTTAAGGTTTCCATCTAGTTAATGTGGGGAATTAAATGCTTCTTTGTTGCAGGGTGATGTTGACAAGACACAGAGTCCTTCTGAATAGTTTTCTTTCACTACTGAATTTTACTGGTTTGAAAATGACATCAGTCTGAAGTTAGGAATGCTAGAAGTTTGCTAAATTTTGCTAAAAGTTTTTAGCTTTTTTTTTTGTTTGTGATCAGGCAATGTCAAGTTATTTTGTATGATTTGTTTGTATATTACGATAACAACAAACATATAAAGTAAAACAGCTTTTTTTTCCTTGACTCATTAAATGGGGAGTGTGTCAGACAGATTTGTAGCATATTCATGTAGGCCTTTTCATTGTGACATTTTATATATATAGTCATATTGTTTTTCTCATAGACCTGCACCAGGTAAAATTATGATTTGTTTAGGCTGCCTATTTTAAATTAACCCTATGAAAACATGATATTTTAAACCAGGTCAAAGACAGTCACTGAGCACTATTGCATTTCAGGCTTCCAGAGTTGAGGACCTTTCCCAATCCCACCCTCCTTCTCTTAGGTGGGATTAGGTGGGATAAAATATTCTTATCACAAATCGAAAAACAAGGTTATTTTGCTTACCCCATTGGCAGATTATTTTACTTGATTTAAGGAAAAACTCACTTCATTTTGGCATATTATTTCTTAAAACAAGACAATATATTTTGCTTGTCTAGAGAATGGTTCTTGATTTAAGAATTTGTAGACATTTGGACTAGAAACAAGACAAGAAAGCTACAGTAAGTAAGTAAAGCATTTTTTGCAGTGAGGCAAAAACACATATACAAAAAAGTAAAAAAATACAGTTATTATTTCTGATATCAATTTATTCTATGATTCAGTCCCGATCATACTGACATGTTTTAAAGACCACACATTCCACAATTCACACAATACTGTCCGATTAGATTGTTGTGTTCTCTAATTATAAGCTAATAGTGTCAATGGTTCAACATTACTAACCATTATCACCTGTTTCTCAATGCTGCAGACAGATATTTGGGCAAACAAGCAAAGTTGAAAAACAGGACCAAAACTCAATATTGTATAAAAAATAAAGGATTCTGTGAATGGTTAAACAGCATTTTTAAGTAGTTATTTGTTCCACTTTGATTAGAAGTAGATGAAAAATTTCTGCCTGCAATGTACAAGTGCATTGGTAAATCTTGCTACCCCTTGCCCCAATATTTTAAAATAACAACATTGACACAACAAGCTCAATATTCATCATAATTTAAGCATTCAACAGTACTCAAATATCTGCGCTTTCTATATATATCACTAATCAAAGAAAAATATATATTTTAGGCGTTTTACTTTCTTAACTCTTGATTTATTTTTTGTAATAAAACAAGATGCCATGCTTCAAGGAACGTTGTCAAGTTGTGTGAGTTCATCGTTATTATGCCTACAAAATCTAGCATCTAATAGCATTGCAAGATTGAACAATAGGATCTGAGCAAACAGTTTTAACCAGGTGAAAGATATAATTAATCACACTTGCAAGAAATGTTTGATGCAGACTTATATCCCTGCAAACAATTTCATGTTTAATAGACGTCTAATAGACATCTAAACGTAGACAGATTGGCAAAAACAAGGCTAAGCTTTGGCTATCAGTGAAAATCTTATAGACATATCAGAATAGCACAAAACTAGACTAGTCATCAAATAGACAGATTAGATAGACTTTATATGTGTAGTCATTCATTTTTGTTATTTGATGACTAGTCTAGTTTTGGCCCATTCTTAGACGTCTATTAGATTTTCACTGACAGTAATTCTTGTTTTAGCCAAGACTACTGTGTTTAGACATTTATTAGACATCAATTAGACATCTTTAAAAAAAATGCTTGCTGTTGTGGTTTAAGATGTTTGTGTAAACTGAAAGTGTGAAGGAATACATTTTCATAGTAGCCTATATGTAAGTGATTTCAACACAGTAATCCTGTTCAGCAAACCTTTGTAAACATATGTCAACATCTTGCCTTGGCTTTTTTCCACAATTGGTTGCCAACTGATTTTGGCTTTACATTTGAATAAGTAAAAAAATGCCAAACCGTTCTGACACTCAGCTGCTCTCAGTGATTTCTTTGGGCCGCTTTCAATCCCATAATGCACTGCATTTAAACTCAACCAAAGTCCCTTTGAGGCCAGTAATTTCACTCAATTTTTTTCTTAGACAGTATGCTTTGGCATTATGTCTGAATGGGGATGCATCAAATTCTCCAAAACTGTTTGCCAAACTTGCGATCACATTACATATTTGGAATCACCAATAAAATGTAATAACAAATCGGCACCAATAGCCTTGTGTTTAGTGCCCGACACATGGCATCGAGGTGCTCGCAGCAACCTGAGTTTGTTTCTCGACACGAGTTCCTTTGCTGATCATTCCCCTATCTCTGCTCCCCACACAGTCTGTAAATCTCTACTGTCCTGTCAATAAAAGGCGAAAACCCCCTAAAAATAATGTAAAAAAATTAAATAACAATCATCTCAAACGTTTGGTTTTTTAAACGTTTGAATCTACCGAAATCTACCATTTTCATTCTCTGAATAATGCTTCGTCGGATCTCGCTGGTCTTCTAAAGTAACTCACCACTTGGTCTTGATGGGGAATCTCCTTTAGAAATGAAAGCAACTCTTTGTTTACAAGGTTGTGGACGTTTGAGTAGTTGCTGTCATGTGATGTGCGTTTGACAGGACAGACTGTACCTTGCATTCATTTCAAAAAGATTACAAAACCAAAACACTTTTGTTTTCTAATGTGGTGGGTTCATTTAAAAGTGCAGATTTCAAGCTTCGTGTGTACATATTTTTTATGTATGTGAAGCTGAGAATCCAGTGTGTTTGTTGACCCCAAAAATCTGTCATAAAAAAAAAAAAACATGTCTGGTCCGAGCTCCTCCCCCCTAGAGGCTATTACGATAAATGATTGGCTCCTTTTCTAGTAGGGAGGGCTTCATTCACCATATTGACTGTTACCCTCTTCCCCATTAAAATTTAAACGAGTGACACTTCTTGTGTATTTGGCTCAACTTTCATGAGAATGAACTGAAAATGCTTGCTATGCTGTGCTTGCAACATGGCAGTGGAGACGCAACGTAAAAGAGAATTGTGTTCAGACTCATTTACGTACAGCTAAAGCAAACGTAATTTTACAACAGTGGGTCTTACAGAGTTAATAAAGATATTATAAGATTTAATACGTTTTTATTATTTTCCAAAACATACTTACAGTAAGTGAAGTTTATTTATAAACTAATTTTGAGAGGATCAAGTGCTTATGATTACTTGCAGCCAGTTCCGCATTATTCAAATTATGATTCACCAATCAGACCATTGCTAAGCCACTATAATTACCCTAAGTTCCATATAACAGCCATCTTCGTTTTGAAGAATCCCCCTTCCACCACTACTCCTCCTCCTTTCCTAGATGGGTGGCATGGTGGCCCAGCAATAAGCACTGTTACCTCAAAACAAGAATGTCACTGGTTCTAGTCCTTACCATGCCAGGCAACGTTTCTGTGCGGAGTTTACATGTTCTCTCCGTCCTCACGTGGGTTTCCCCCAGGTTCCCCGGTTTCCTCCACCGTCCACAAACATGCAACTTAAGTTAATTGACTAATCCAAATCAGCACCATAGAAATGCTCCTTGTGAGTAGTTATCTCATAAGAGCAATCCCTATCTGTTCATTAGCTGCTACAGCAGAGGAGTTCTCGAGATCTACCTGAGCTCAAACTTCCCTCTTGCCTTGCAAACGGGAGGGAGCCCCGGGCCCGAGGATCTTATGAGCTCAGGGCTCTCTCCCAGGACAGCGTGCCAAACAAGCTTTATAATCAACATCAGCTAAGTGTGAACTCTTGAAATGCAAAATTAATGTATAGCTTTGACATCTCTCTGTAATAAAGGTGAGAGTTTGGGAGATATTCCAAGACTCATATCGACTCATTGAGACTATGAAAGAACACAAAGCCACAGTGAACTGCATTAAGATCAAGAGCAATGACAAGGAGTGTGTGACGGCCAGCTCTGATGGAGCCTGCATCATCTGGGACTTGGTGTAAGTTTGACAAGGATAAGCTCTTACCCCTCAAGACATGAAAACTAACACTGCTGTTTTTCTTTGATTGAACTTTCAATAACATCTGTCTACCTTGTTCTCATTTCCCAACCAGGAGGTTTGTGAGGAATCAAATGGTCTTGTCCAACACCCTGTTCAGTGTTGTGTGTTATCACCCTGAGGAATACCAGATCATCACCAGTGGCACTGACAGAAAGGTACAAGACTAGACTGATCTACTGGCATGTGTTTGAGAGAAATGTGGCCAGAAAGTGAGAGACTGATAGGTGAGAGAATAGACAGGAAGAAAAAAACAGATACTGTGTGCACAACAACATGCTGACAGAAAGCTCTCTCAGTTTCCTGTGGATGTTGTATTATCCACTCATTCTGCTCTGTGCCAAATAGTCCATCTGCTAGGCACAGCATCACTGTCCATTTAAAGACCATGGATTATTAGAATTCGTATGGTCGGCCATACGTCCATCACGTCGAAGCAAAGGAAGAATCACATTATCAGTGCTGTCATTCATATTTCATCTGTAAAAGAGCAATTGTTAAATAACATTCATGTTTGTTTTTGTTTTAGCCATCTAATTATAGTAATTAATTATATTCCAGTCAAGACTGTAGCCAAACAAACACAAATGCGAGTCTATTGTTGTCCAGGAAAAGCAGCCAAATACAGCACAGTAGGTACAGTACTTGAAAGGACACAATGCTGGGGTCATGCCGGATACCCAGTGCTGGCAGAAAGCCTGCTGGGACATAGCCATTTCGGTGAGGCGTACCAGACCTCTGTCTGCAGGTTCGATAGCATTCACACCTTTTAAAACTTGATAGAAGTGCTATCAGTCCCTTTATTAATTAGGGGTGAATTGCCAACTTATACAGCATTTTTTTTACGCAGCGGATGCTCTTCCAGCCGCTACCCAACACTGGGAAACACCCAGTCTTGCATTCACTCACATACACCTTGCCGAATTTATCTTATTCCATTCACCTATACCTCATGTCTTTTGACTCTGGGGGAAGCAGAGCACCCAGATGAAACCCATGCCAACATACAAACTTCACACAGAAATGCCAACTGACCCAGCCGAGGCTCGAACCAGCGACCTTCTTGCTGTGAGGCGATTGTGCTACCCACTGCTTCATCTTTTTGCTTGTATACTAAGTTTAAAAAAAAAATTTCTCATAATTTAAGCTTCATTAATTTTTTTTCCTTCAGCTTATTCTCTATTTTAGAGGTTGCGAAAGCAGAACGAATTATTCCAGCTTATGTTTTACACAGTAAATGCCCTTCCACACCCACACATGTCCCCACAATGCCCAACCCACACACATACACTACAGACCTATGGGGGTTCTAGACCAGAGTAACTGGAGGGGCCGAGCAGAGGCCACTTGTATTTTTAGGAGGCACACGTTAAGATACATCACAATCCACTTCAACAATTATTCAGCCTTTTTTTCATGCATCGCTCTGCAGTCTTAACTTAATTTAAACAGTTAAATAACAGACTCAAAATAATCTTCCATGTTAATTTGTTTGACAAGTAACTTTGAATTGTAGAAAAACACACTTTTAACATTCGAGTATATCAAGGAACATTTTTGCACCTTAAACTTTAACAGATACAGTTGAAGTCAATTATTTGTTTGCCCTTCCATTAGTTGAAAATGTTTCTCAAGTGATCTTTAACAAACCAAAGAAGTTTTCACAGTATTTCCTAAAAAAACAAATTAATTAATTAATTAATAAAAAAAAAATCTGGAGTCATAATAAGTCTTATTTTTTGTTTAGTTTGTCTTGAATATAAGCATTTTTTTAAAGCTATTTTAAGGTCAAATTATTAGCCACAGAAGAAATATGTACATGTTTTGATTGTCTACACAACAAACCAGTCATACAATGACTTGACTAATTATTCTAACTTTCCTATAACATAACCTACTTAAGTCTTTAAATTATAATTTAAACTGATTACAACTATTGTGTAAAATAACTGATAAATATTATGCACTGACTATCACCATGGGAAAGACAAAAAAGTAGTTATTAAAAATAGTTAAACTATTATGTTTAAAAACGTGTTGTAAAAAATGTGTTTAAAGACTTGTGCTCTGTCACTACTGAAAACAAAAATGAATGAAGACAAAACTAAATGAATTGAATATTACTTTTACATGAATATAATCAACAGTTAGAGTTTTTTTTTTCCGCTGTGGCGACCCCAGATTAATAAAGGCACTAGGCCGAAAAGAAAACAAAAAAATGAATGAATGAAGCAACAGTGGACATTTTGATTTTACATCATGAACATGACTAAAATTTATTTTTTTATTACCTGTGTCAATTTGGGGCTTAACTTCTGACAAATGTAGAAAACTGATGTACGCAGCACCTTCACTGACAAAAGTCAGTGAAAAAAGTGCATGCGACACTGAGAGTGCACGAGAGAGGCCTCAGTTATATTTCCACAGTCTGCCACCGACTGCTTCATTGTGGCGTTTTTGTGACACAAAAATACGCCAAGCTTATTGACACAAGGGCATTGGCCCCCATAGATCCACCACTGCTTGGGACAGTTAATTTATTCAGTTCACCTATAGCGCATGTATTTGGACTGTTAGGAAAACCAAAGCACCTAGAGGAAAATCCACGCCAACACGGAGAGAACATGCAAACTCCATACAGAAACACCAACTGGCTCAGCCATGACTCGAACCAGCAACCTTCATGCTGTGAGGCTACAGTGCTAAGCACTGTGCCACCGTGTCACCCTGATTTCAGCTTGATTTATTTTTCAAGTTTATGGTTTTTCAAAATTTTGACTTTATTTCTCTCAAATCTGAGTTTAGATCTCACTTTTTCATAGAATTGTGAATTTGTACTGACAAAATTATGTTATACTATACTATGTTACAGTTCTGAGTAAATAAAGTTTAAAAGTACAAAAGTTTATGGCTTCAAACAGCAAGACATAAACTCAGAGGGAAGAGAAAGTTCAAAATCTAATTTTTGATATAAAAATCAAGATAACATTTGAATCAATGGTGGGAACAAGTGTCAAACCTTAATTAAATGTAAAACCTTAATTGAATGAACTCTTTTTTTTTTTTTGTCTGGATGCATGAATGTACAGTTGAAATCAGAATTATTAGCCCCCTTTGAATTTTTTTTTCTTTTTTAAATATTTCCCAAATAATGTTTAACAGAGCAAGGAAATTTTCACAGTATGTCTTATAATATTTTTTTTCTACTGGAAAAAGTCTATTTGTTTTATTTTAGCTAAAATAAAAGCAGTTTTTTATTTTATTAAAAAAAAAAAAAAAAAAACGTTTTAAGGTAAAAATGTTTAGCCCCTTTAAGCAATTTTTATTCAATAGTCTACAAAACAAGCCACTGATATACAATGGCTTGCCAAATTACCTGCCTAGTTAACCTAGTTAAGCCTTTAAATGTCACTTTAAGCTGTATAGAAGTGTCTTGAAAATATCAAGTAAAATATTATTTACTGTCATCATGGCAAAGATAAAATAAATTAGTTATTAGAAATGAGTTATCAAAACTATTTAAAAATGTGTTGAAAAATTTGCTCTCCGTTAAACAGAAATTGGGGAAAAAAATAAACCGGGGGGTTAATAATTCAGGGGGCTATGTATTTATGTGTAACATCTAGCAATGCAATTGTACTTATTGAACAGATTGGCTACTGGGAAGTATATGATGGGTCTGCAATCAGAGAACTTGAGGGCTCCTTGTCTGGATCTATAAACGGCATGCACATTTCTGAAGATGGGAAATATTTTGTGACAGGTGGGTACTTTCAGTATCTTTTCCTATACAGAGTTATTTTCCCCAAGTCAATCTTCTGTCATATGGTGGATGTAACAGAAACAACAGGTGGCACAATGGACAGCATAAACAGAAGTATTTATAACAACACCAAAAAAAGCATCATTCTCAAAACAGTTGGATAAATGTCTGCTCACCAGGTCTAAATTAACACTTGCAGAATTCAATCTGATCCCAGCAGTTATTTTTAAATGAGTTTCACAGTATGAGTTGATGAGGTGCTAATCTACAGTAACGTCTCTGTTTTTACTGTGTAGTTGTGCTGTTTTCTATAGTTTCATGGTAAATGTCAAACCTCACTTTCAGGTGGAGATGACAAACTACTCAAGCTCTGGCTCTATTCTGATGGTGAAGTGACCCATGTTGGCATCGGGCACAGCGGAAGCATCACAAATGTGAGAATCTGTCCCAACAGCAGATATATTGTCAGTACCAGTGCAGATGGTGCAATTCTAAGGTGGAGATACCCACAAACCGCATAGAACAGTGAAGAAGGCCATCTTATTCTATTTAGGCATACAGTAGATTTGTATTGCACATATTTCTTTTAAAAAATATTTTTTTTTATAGCAAGCGGCCCAACAAAACTGATATTAAAATTGCTGTGAGCTATTTATTAAAGCAAACACATGCCCTATGTCTCACTATTTCACTTATTAAGTATTACAAATTCATTTGGCACCATAATCTGTGAGAAACCATGTAATAAACTATTCATCCATATAACTAAAAAGACAAATGAGTACCTTCAGTTTCTTTTTTCTTGCAAGTAATTGTATAATAAATTAGGTTATGAATTCTTAGGAGATTTAAAGGTACAATTAAACTATCCAATTCCAGTCATTTTATTGAAATAAAGCAGCGTAGAGCCCCAGTTTCGGAGGACTTTTTGTGAACTGCGCTGTCAGCTAATATATCACCTGAGAATCTCCAGAGAGCTGGCGGGGGTGGTTTGGAGAAGCACAGCACTGCGTGAACTTAGCATCTGGATGTGTCTGTCCCAAATTTCCTCTCACCTCCGAGGAACAGTCTCAATAATGAATATCTTAACCCCTAACTGTAAGACAGTAAGGATGTTCAACCATTTAGTCGGAATAAATAATACAGGGGAGAGGATGCACTGCTCGCTAACACATTTTGGCAATAGAAGTGGTTTTGTAATCGCTCCCTAGAGCAAATAGAGATTTAATTAGTAACAGAAGATGCAGGTCAGTATCTTCAGCATCTTCAAGTCAATACAATATAATGCCGTGGCTCACATTCCTTCACTGCCGACAGCAGAGATTGGAGAAAAGCAATTCCATGACCTTGTTGGTGATATAAAGAAACAAAGTAACAAAGTCAGTGGATGATCACAATTCCAAGCACAGTTGTTCTCAGTAGTCGTATAAACAGTATTTATCTGCCTTGCAGGCAGGGTGTCCAATGATAAAGATCCCTAACAAAAGGATGAACCTGTATAGGGTGTCTAATAAGACTAAAACCATATAAGGGGGGAATGTTTAGATTAAATCTGTAATATTCTGTACCACATTGCTGTTTATTGTTGTCACATTTTTTCTTGCATTTATGCAGCTACAGTTACATGAATTGGATTTAAGACATGAAAATTAATCATGCACACTCCTAAAAGAAAGTACTCTGAGCTCTTAATGTTTTATGAAAAGATAGTCAACGATTTTGGCATAAGTGTGTATGAATCTCAGAATGTTTATCCTTTGTCTGGGTAGTGAATTTTGACCCATTCAGATTTTGAGTGTTTATTGGTTTATTAAAAGTATTGAAGTGATTTTATTGATTTTCATGACAATGCTTTTGGCCTAAAACACTCTAAAACTTTGTTCTTTCAAGAAAAAACTGTGAACTGTAATCAGACTGTGAAAAGTTTAGGAGTACAGTTTAATCATTTTTGCATCAGCTTTATAGGGTTAAAGAGCTATAGGGTTGAAGCCAAAATCATTAGCCAACCTGTGAAATTTCAATTCTTTTTTTCAAATATTTCCCAAAAGCCATTTAATGAAGAAAATTTAGATTTCTAAATTATTTTATTAAACATCACAGTTGTAATACCTAATTTATTTTGTCTTTCCCAGGATGACAGTCCTGTAGCCAATCCAAAAAAAAAAAAAAAAAAACGTTTTTAGCCCTCCTGTGACATTAGTTATTTTAAAATCCTTTCCAGGTCTTGTTAAAAAGAGAGAAGATTTTTTTCAACACATTATTAAACCTAATATTTGTAATAACTCATTTCATTCATTTATTCGACAATTTTTGTTTCAACTTAGTTTTTTATCAGGGTCGCCACAGTGGAATGAACTGCCGTAATAACTAATTTCTAATAACTAATTTATTTTGTCTTTATTATCACAAATATTTATTTTACTGGTATTCAGTTTAAAGTGCAATTTTTAAAAGCTTATTACATGTCTGGATAATTAGTACATCCATTACTGAATGACAGAAGTTTGTTCTCTAGACAATTATACTATATAGATAGCCCCTGTTTAATTTATTATTATTTTTTTACTTTTTAAAATATTTTTCAAATGGTGCTTAACAGAGCAAGGAAATTTTCACAGTATTTCTGATAATATTTTTTTCTTCTGGAGAATGTCTAATATGTTTTATTTTGGCTAGAATAATAATATTAATAATAAAAAAACATTTTAAGGTCAAAATTATTAGCCCCTTTAAGCTATATTTTTTCCATAGTCTTTAAAACAAACCATTGTTATACAATAACTTGCCTAATTACCCTAATCTGCCTAATTAACCTAACCAACCTAGTTAAGTCTTTAAAAGTAACTTAAAGCTGTATAGAAGTGTCTTGAAAAATATTTTGTGAAATATTATTTACTGTCATCATGGCAAATAAGATTAAATAAATCAGTTATTAGAAATTAGTTATTAAAATTTGTTTTGAAATGTGTTTTTGGAATGTTTAGCAGGTGTAATTACAAGTAGCCTACACATGATCCTAGGTGTGAATAGACTTTCGTCTGTGGATTTTCACGTTTACAATTACTTCTCCATACGTTACATGTTCAAAGTAAACCAGGCTAATAAGATTCATTGTGGGAGGGTAACGCCGTGCATCTACCATTCATACGCATACTCCAACCACAAGCCAGAGCAAGAGAGAGCGGGCGAAATACAGCCAGTAATGGGCATCCACACACGAGCACGCAGGTAGGTGTGGTGTAAAAGAACGAGAGTTGTGTCTGAAGCATGGAGTTCAGCCCAGTGTATTTCCAGGTGCGTACGAGAGCGTCATGGATAAATCGAAAGTAGCGCAGCAGAGAACAGCGATAAGGAATGTCGGGGACGCGATAATTACGAGCCTCGGTGCAAAAACCGGTGCCTTTAGAGTGTTTTTTTCATCGTCGTGATGGTTTAGCGATGAAGGATTTTGAGACGCACAGGTGGGAGCGACGTGTCTTTACACCGCCGTGCACTTGTTTCTCTTACTGACGTCCACCGCTCGGTTTGGGCGAAACGACGGACTAAACATGGATTCGCTGAGGGAAACCAGGAAACAAACAATCAAAGCTAAATCGGCGAAGCGCAAGAACAAAACGCACAAGTCCCAAAAGCTGTTCCGAAGGAAATCGTTAAAATCGCTGGGAAATTTTATGAGCAGGATTGTCAAAACTTTGGGCACTTTGGCACACTTGGGGGACGCGGATCAGCCGGACGCAGCAGCGGAGGATGATGATGGTGGATTTGGAGACACGGCGAGTGTCCACAACTCTGGGAACTACAGAGAGAGCTCGGCGAGGAAAAGCTCTTCTTACGGGTCTGTGAAAGAAAGACTGTCCTGGTGTTACGGAGAGAAAACACCGGGAGTTCAGGGTCTGAAGAATCACGGAAACACCTGTTTTATGAACGCTGTGGTGCAGTGTCTGAGTAACACAGAACTTCTGGCTGAATATCTGGGTCTGGAGCAGTATAAATATGAATTAAATGAGCGGAGGATCAACGGGATGATGAAGAGTGAGGAGGTCAGAGGGGAAGTCACGGACAAGCTGGCATCGTTAGTAAGGGCGCTCTGGACAAACGACTACACGCCTCAGCTGTCGGTGGATTTTAAGGTGAGTTTCGAGTAACCTACGCAAAGAAAACTGCATCAGTGCAATCAGTGTGGAGACATTCTTTGAACTGTGAACTTGTTTTCCTTTCAGTATAGAGTGGAAATTTTGATTTATACTGAAGCAAATCAAATCAACAGGTGAATCATTAGATGATTCAGATTCTGAGAACCGGATCAAAGATTCATTGAAACAAGTGAGATCACTTGATTCGGATCTTAATAAAAATTGAAAATAGAGTTACTAAATTGTATTAGTTCTCGAGTAAACCTGTGAAAAGAGTGGGCTATTTGTTTTACTTACAATTCACAAACACAATTTTGATAAATAGCCTACATAAACAAAACAAAAAAAATATGTGGATGTTATGGGAAAAATATGAATTTAATTGTGAGATTTTGACGTTTATTTGCTGAACTGAACTACACATTTATTTATAAAATTGAGTTTAAAACGTTTTGGAAGCTGTCAAGTCAGGATGCCAGTGAGTTGAAAAGTCTAAACCACTGAATCTCTTAAAATGATTCTTTGCAGAGGAGTGTTCAGATGAACCGATTCACTTAAATGACTTCCTCATTACTTATTCAAAAGTCTACAATCCTTGGATGGTGGAAGTGGGTTGGGCTTAGTGTAGGAAGAAGCAGGTGAATCACCTTTCAAGAATTCGACCAACTTGTTTTGCAGGAATTCAGAATGTTTTTAGTTGTAAGGGTTTTGTTAGACCGGAAAAACAGTGCTTTCTTTCATTATGCTTTTTTTCTTCTTTTTGTAATGAGGGAAAAGACTGATGCTGTCTCCCAAATGGCAGCAATAATTTCACATTAGGGGTTAAAAAATAATCATATAAACAAGATATATTTGTCATCAACTAACAACAATTATAGATTGCTCTGAGCTACGTATTTAGGTTGCCTCAAAGGTGCAATATCTACAATCTGCAATCTTGTAACTCAATACTGTCCCACACACACAAACACACACGCTACGAGAGAGAGAGAGAGAGAGAGAGAGAGAGAGAGAGAGAGAGATGCAGGTTGGTCTACATTCTTCATTTTTATGCTTTGGACAATGTCTGTTCTATCTACAGTAGCTTATACAATAGCTTACAGCATCAAGTGTATTAGGGTTTATATTTTAAAGTATATAAAAAGTAAATATATTTTTATAGCAATTATTGTAAAATTTTACATTATGGTGCATGTTCAATGCTTACATTTATGTTTTAGTAGTGCATAAACATTTAAGAGTGAGCAGAATCCTATTACAGTAAATGTGTGTTATTATGATACATTTTTCATTCATAGTAGTTATTAATTTATAGTGTCCATAAGAACTTATTCAGTGTATTTGTAAAACTAAATTTAAAGGTTTATGTGGGATTCTAGTATTATTAATGCTGGGCACCAAACAAAGTAAATTATTATTTGTAAAAGTACAATAATATATAGAAATCCTAGTAATATTTGACAATTAGTTTGTTTGTTCGTTCTTTTTTTCATTCATTCATTCCCTGCGGTCACAGGACATCAACATTACATCATATTGACCTTGTATCCCAACGTCATGGGGATGTTGGATTTTGTTTGGAAATGAAAATTGGGTTGATGTCAGAACCCAACGTCAGGCCGACATCAGTGTCGAATGTCCAACCTAAAATCAACCAAATATCAACGTCTAACCATGTTACACCCTGACGTTATTCATTCATTCATTCATTCATTCATTCATTCATTCATTCATTCATTCATTCCCATGAGGAAACCCGCTCATAAATCATACAGATTAGAGTATTTTAAAAATGTAAAACTGCAGAATGTTTATAGTGAGGGTTTACAGCTAAAGTAGGTTAGGGATAAGAGGATAGAATATGCAGTTTGTACAGTACATCATTATGTCTATGGGAAGTCCCTATAAAGCATGGAAACCTAATATATGTGTGGACTGTTTGTGTTTCTGCATCATCTCAGTTACTCAGCAAGGTGCAATACTGACACACACACACACACACACACACACACACACACACACACACACACACACACACACACACACACCACCTTGAGCACAGCTTGTGCTCAGACATCATCTTATGATGCATGTGTCTGATACCCGTCCCATTTCCATCCATTCCCTTTCCCTCACAGCATCTTCTTCAGTTTAATGTATATTACAACTGATAAAATGTATAAATTCCTCTATCATTAAGAACACCGCTTGCATAGGAACACAATGCAATATAAGATAACAGTTTTATTACTAGTATTCAATCATATTCAAGTTTTGTGCTAGTATTTGTACAGGTTTTGGAACTGAACACAGTTAAAACGATGAAACTCCGTTCTAGAGGCCACAGGATATTTAGTCTCTGAGGTGAAGAGATAAATGATGAGGATGAGAAGGAAGGGCATTGCTGATGGTCAGGGGAGAGTAAATAATACAGTGTCTGGAGATCAGCAGAAATGAATGACTGTCCTCCATATGAAGAAACAAAGACAAGACTTGAAGGCTTTAATCTGCCTCTCTGTTTTTCTGCTCTCTTGATTTTCCTTCCTTCCTGCCTGCTTGTAAAGCTTTTGTTTTTGACTCAACACCCTGTAACTTGTGTACATTTTTTTGCAAATTGGTCAAACAGATTTTTTTGGACTTAAAAATTTCTTGCTTTTTCTTCTGCTGATGGTTTGGGCATTGGAAGTTTGTTCTAATTTTGTTTTCACATTTGGTATCAGTTGCATTGTATAAATCCATATGAAAACGACACTTCATAAAAAGTTTTGTGAGATTGGGTTGCATGAATATTAATATTTCACACACAGAAGGCAACTTACACTGCTTCATTAACTAATATTGGGGAAATACAAATGGAAACTGGTTACTAATTTCATTCTTCAGAGGCTTTTTGATGGCATATAGATTTTACATTACAGTGGTAATTAGGTAGTATTAATTACACACAGTTGGACAGGTTTTTAATTAAAAGTCGTATTTGTATATAACCTTTCTAACATATTGCTGTGAGTGGCCAATTTTAAAGGGGAAAATGAACCCAATGACTCTGGGAGAGTAGCATGTAATTAACGTAATGTTATCAACACTTTAAGGCAACAAATTAATTGCACAAAATGTGAGATCTTTTCATCAAAATATCCAAAAACAACTAGAACAGTACTATATGTTTTGCAGACTTATGTAATGTAATGTATGTAATGAAGATGACAACTCATGATTCCACAGTCAGCCATGGCGTCACGCTCTAGCAGCAAAAATTACAATCTGTGCTTTTAAGAAAAAAATAAAGGGTATATCCATCTGTCTGTCTGTCTGTCTGTCTGTCTGTCTGTCTGTCTGTCTGTCCGTTCATTCGTCGTACATATCATACACACACACACACACACACACACACACACACACACACACACACACACATCGCGAAATGCGAAAGTTTTTTTTCTTTCCATTTAGCGTGCGTTATTAAATTCCATAACACTCTCAGCAGTCCTTCTTATTTGCATCTAATACCCCAGTTTGTCACAGCAACATGAATGAAATGCTCATTCGTTAAAGTGAAACTGCCGAACTGCAGTTAAAGTCAGGCGTCCTGCTGATTTGATTCAAAAGGGCACTCTTTTGTCAGATGGCTCACCGTTCAGGTATACATCCGCACTAAAATATCAAGGTGAAAGTCACCATAAGTTGAGTAGAATAGACCAAGCTCCCAAACCAACTTTGAGAATAGATTAACAGCAAGATTTTTTTTAATCGCGTGATAAGAGTATCGCGTTAATGCAGCACGTTAATACCGATAATGGCCCACCACTAAAACAAACTAAAACTTTGACTGTGCAGCTACGTTACAAATTGAAAACAAATTCCAAATAAAAAATGAACAATACAAATTAAAGAAGACTCTTTAATACAAACAAACTAAAACTGTGATTTTACATTTTGAAAAAGAATTGTCAGCATCTCTATGTTTTCTGGCACAAGTTGACATATTTGTACATTTACAATGTCCCTGCTAATGAAAATAGTCTTTTACTGGGGACTAAGATGGCTGGTGTAGAGAGGAAAGCCTTTCCTAAACCAGAGAGCAGTGTGTACAGAGGTGGGGAATAGGCCCTCTGCACCAGGGGACTGGCCACTGGCATAAAATACTGATTATAATGTATGATATATTAAGCAAATTATTAAAAGATTTGTAAATTAAATTGAAAAAGAGTGAAAAGGAACAATCTAATCTAGTCTGGTTCTAATAGCACGGCTTTCTCTTTCAGTCTGAAAAACTACTTCACATTTTGGCTATGAAAACACTGATGCACCGTGTGATCTCTGTAACGTCAGCACTCATCATGAGCAAACAGAGATGCCAATCCTCCGGTCCACATGGTTTAGACTATTAATACACTGCAAAAAATGCTTTTCTTACTTGGATTTTTTTTCTTGTTTCTATTCCAAATATCTAAAAACTCTTAAATCAAGCAGAATTTTCTAGAAAAGCAAAACGTACTGTCTTGTTTTAAGATATAATATGCCAAAATTAAGTGAGTTTTCCTTAAAACAAGTTAAATTATCTGTCAATGGGCTAAGCAAGATAATCTCATGTCAAAAGAAAAAACAAGATTATTTTGCTTACCCCATTAGCAGATTATTTTGCTTGTTTCAAGGAAAAACTCATTTAATCTTGGAATATTATTTCTGAAAACAAGACAATATGTTTTTCCTGCTTAGAAAATGCTTCTTGACATAAGAATTTTTGGTCCCACTTTATATTAAGTGTCCTTAACTACTATGTACTTACATCAAAAAATAAATACAATGTACTTACTGTGTTTATAATGTATTTGAGAACACTTGTGGTGCTTTTGAGCTGGGATAGAGGTTGGGTTATGGACAGGTTTGGTGGCATGGGTAGGTTTAAGGGTGGGTTAAGGTGTAAAGGATGGTCAACAGTGTATTTACAAATGTAATTACAAAAGTTAACTACAGATGTAATTACATACTTGTAT